TCTGTGATCTTAAGCATGATTTAAGTTTTTAGCCAGTATTAAACTGAGCAGCCCTGACAGCAGAAGCAGATTTTTGGTTTGTTGATTATTTTTTATGAAGTTCAACTTATCTGCAAATGTCACTTTATTTTTAAACGAGCGAACAGAGATGGGCCATAACACCATGTCCTGAGCTCTCCTGTCCAAAGGTTGGTCTGTAGCCTCTTCCAGCTTTTTTTGGGTTACTTCTCCTGCCTATTTGGTGGAATTTTGCCCTACAAGTAAAATTAAAAAGTTTTGTCATGTCATGAATTGAATTTCTCCTGAATTTCAGCTGCATTTCTCCTTGCTGAACTGAGCTTTCTAATTTAACTTATCTTTATGTTGTTAAAAAAGTACTCCAAGTGTTTAGGCTGGAATATTCCTGGAGAAAGCAAGTCCCCTTTTACAAGGACAAGGAGAACAGAGAACTATAATCTGTAAATGCACATGCTCTGGGTCTTATCTCTGCTGTGGGAAATTGGCCAAAGAATCAGGTGGAAAAACTAATTTCCTCAAATATTTCTTTGGGAATGGGGGCAGCTCGCTGAGTATCCATAAAGAAAGGAGACAAGAATTGCTCCTGGAGTGGGTCCAAAGTTCTTGGATTGTTTATTTACACCCCATATTAAGGTGCTTTCCCGTGAAGAGCTCTCAGCTCTGCTGAAATCTCTGTAATTAATTCCTTCCACCTTAGTACACAAGTGTGAAGTTCAAGCACCGGGAAGAAAAGACATTTAGAGGTTTTGTCCTGATTTTGTGGGAAAAGCAGGATTCTCCAACGGGCTGCTACCAACTCCCTGTGCCCCTGTTTGTGGGACAAAGGGTGGTCAAACCCCCAGTTTCAAATGATTAAGTGACAGGACATAACCCAGGACTCTCAACTGGAATTTCTTCCTATGAAAGCAGCAAAACCCTTGCCAGTGAACCTTAAATTTCAAGACACTCTGTTTTCAGGCTCTTATTTTATTATGACATATTATTAGTAATAATATTATTTTCTCCTGTGGTATTACAGCTCTGGAAATTTTATCTAAATACTGTTATTTAGAAAGTCACAGGAGGTCATAGAATATCCTGGGTCAGAAGTGGCCCACAAGGATCACCAAGTCCAGCTCCTGGCCCTGTTTTTTTGCTCTGCATTTCATAAGGTAATGCCTCAAATGTAAAAGCACTTAAACACGTGTGAGCTTTTTTTCCCCCTCCCTAAAAACCAGTAGAAAAGTGAAGTGACAGACAGTGTGTTCCCTGGAACAGGAGCTAAAACCTAGAGTGGAATCCCAGTGGAAGCTGCAGTACCTGAGAACACGTCTGTGAGGGCAGGAATGGGGCTGTGAGGACACTGAGTTAGTTCAGGGACCAAAAAACAAGGTGTTCATGGCTCTGTGTTCAACTTGCTCTGCAGAGGAGCTGGAACCCACTATAAAATATGAAACCCACTATAAAATATGAATGCCAACAAAGTTGCTGACAAGGAGCTCAAGTATTCACACCAAAGCATAATTGTCTGTTATGTCCACTCCATTTAACAAAGTTACTGAGTGTGTGTCAGGAGCTTTGTATTCCCCGAAAAGCTGGAGGTGAAAAGGAGCCTCCTGAGAGGGGGACGATGTCAGGATGGCCATGACCCACACACATGAACTCCTGTGAACTCCACCAGCCCCTTTTGGTGACTCTCCTGATTTTCAGTCGTGGTCCTGTGAGTCTCCCCACACCCAGTGCAGCTGTAGGTCCCTCTGGATGGTCTTTGTATTTAGAACGACATGATGTTTTGTTACAACACATATTAAGGACGAGCCTGTTCTTTCTTTTGGCCCCAGGCCACATTGCAAGTATCTAATAATGCTTTTAGGCTCAGAAATATAATTTGTGGAGCCTTTTGTGAAGCTTGCAAAGTGCTGTAGGGCAACTGCATGATCAGCATCATATAAATGTTAGTCATTAAGAAAAATAATCATAATCATGATGGCCAGCACAATAACAATTAGCCTGTTCCCTGGCTCTCTGAACACCCTGGTACCTACAGACAGCCCATCTTCAATAAGCTGGGGAGGGTCCAGTGACTGAGGCTTTGTGTAAGCAACACAACTGATCAATAATGTGAACTGAAGCAATCACTTCCATTGACTCCAGCAGGTAATTTGTGTTCATCTTGCAGAGCTGCTGCACATGAACGTGGGGAGCAGCAAGCAGATAAAAGTGGCAGCACGTCAATTCTTGCTGGTGGTTGGGGCCAATTACTGGAATTAAAATAACCTTTTTCAGAGTGCAGCAAGATTAGCTGTTGACCCTGCTGGCCTAATGCAGTTACTATTATACTTATTATCATCAGCCCCTTCTCCTGCCTTCGCTGGTGATTCTCTGTGAGTGAAGGCACAAGCTCTTGTACATATTATTTTTGCTGTGGGTTTGAAAGGTGCCAAAAATTTTGTGAACAGAGTTGGAGGATGGTAGTGCACAAAGCAGAGGGATCAGTTCAAGATGTAACAGACTGTAAGACTGTTCAGTGGGTAGCTACAGCAAATTTGGGAGTATAAAAACTTGAATAATCTCTGTGTTAATTTCTTTTAGTGTATGTAACTTTTCTCTATCAGTAATACTTCTGTTTTCTGCTCCATGTCTAATGATGTGCATGCAACTGTTGCAATGTAACACAAAACATCTGTAAGCCTGTAGAACCAGTGGTAATCCATGTTCTATCTGGAGTCTGTGATGGGGAATCAATGTCAATGAGACCCCTCAGAGACCTCCTGGGGAAGCAGGGCTCAGCCAGGCTGTGTTCAGAGCCCTGCCTTGCACCTACCAAACTGGTATTCCAGAATGAATTAAGCCTCCCAGTAGTGCCTATATCTTGGAAATTTTTGCTGTACTATCTATTCATTTTTATTCTTAATTTGCAGGAAATTATCCATAGCCTTTTGCCCAAGGTGTGCATCAGACACAGGGTCACATTATTGTCCCCACAACTGCAGGCACAGCCAGAGCAATGCTAACCCCCAAAGCCCCCTGAATTTCCATAGCTGACTGACTCAGTGATGTGTTTGTTATATAGTTCCAGTGAGGATGAAATACCTTCACTGCCTTTATGCAGAAAACACAATGTATATTCTCATGCCTGACTGGAAACCACGTGTTTTGTAGCTGAACTGAACTAACTCTTTAAATCAGATTTCCACAACCATTGCACAGACACTGGAGGGCTATTTGCCTTGTGCAGCTCGTTGCATGGAAACAGGACTTGTCTCATGAGACCTGAAAAGGGTGAAGAGCAAATGTGACCACTCCAAACCTTTTGAATCCCTCTGTGCACCTTTCTCTCCCTTCCCTGAATCACAGGGTGTCTCTTTTCACTGGCCTTGCAGAGTCTGTGACTGGAAGGTCAAGTGGCAATTGTCAGGTCTCGGGTAGATTCCACAACAGTCTATTTTCCTTTGGGCAAAGATGGGGGGGAAATAAATTGATGAAGGAAACAGAATTTCAAAAGTATGCTTAGCTCTTCTAGGAATATTTTTCACCAGTTCATCTTTCAGGAGGTGAGGGATTCCCTCTCCCTTTTATAGAGGTGGAAGACACAGTCTGACTCTACAACTGTGCCTCTCTTCCCCTAAAAGAATCTGATGTACGAGGCATGGAAATGATTGTTAGGGGGGACACAAGAACAGTTAGACCAAACATCATCTGGATGAGGAGTTTTCCCTCCAGAGGGAATGATGCCAGCTGGGACTGGAACATATGTAGAGGGAACAAGGAAGCACAGGTCCTGCCTCTGCAGTGACTGTGAAATGAGCCACCACTGGGAAATGTGAGAACACGAGTGCCAGAGACACTGGGAGCACGAGCAGGGCCTGAAAACACTTCCCCAAAGGGAGATCCTGTTGAACCAGCATGACATAATATGGCAAGAGGAGTAAATTCACTGTGCAAACCACCCAGCTTTAGGGAAAAACCAGCTTGAATGAAATGTCTGGTTTGCTCTTGGGGAATTGGAAGTGCAATGTCACTGACTTTTTTTTTTTAATTTCCCCTCCAAGAATACATTTCTGCAGAGAGATGTTTTCACTGCAGGAGTGTAAAAGCCCTTTTAGAAAAAAAAATAGCAAACAATAACTTTTTTTTTTTTAAACTTGTATATGACTCTTGCTGTTTCCAACCTGGTTAAAAAAAAATAACATTTAGTTGAAAAGGGAAGGTGTAATTAATTTTAACACAGAGTTACACTGTTGTTTGTATAAGAGGGTCTTGCACTTCCTCAGAATTTATCCCTGAGAATTATTTCTTGAGCCAGTTTCTCTGAGAAGGTGAAATTGGGCTGTTGGGGTTACATTAATGTACATCTACTCTGAGTCAGGGGCTGGCACTACAGATTGAGATGTTGTCCTTACGTGGACTGTTTGACAGAACAATTATTGAAGGAAAATAAAAAGAACTATTCAGAACAAGTAGATGAGATTAAGAATACAAGGTCAAATTTCATGAAATAACTCAAGTCAGGCATAATAAAAAGGAAAGACATTGAGCATAAAATGATTTGAAGGGACAGGATGTTTAAGAGAGGACTGGACTTGTGCTAAACAGAAACCCAATAAACCAAATTACTCTGGCTATTGCTGCCTTCACTGCTGCTACAAAGGTAGTTCAGTTACTCATTAGTCATTGCTTGCAGGATTATAATCTATCATGACCTCATCTTCTCCTTACTCCTTTGGGAATACAGAAAGGAAAACAAATCTATGAGCTCCCCCCTCCCTGTGTCCCCCTACGACCATTAGAAAAGCTTCCTCATCCTTCAGAAGAACAATCAATATTAAACATCTTTTACTTTGCCAATGATTGATTCTGTCTCATTTCCCATTACTCATTAAAAAAAAAAAAAAAAGGGGACATTCAGGCTCGATTTTATTTGTTTATTTATTTATTAAGGGATGACAGAGGCAGGGCTGCCTGAAAAATTCATGGAAACTTCACTGTTGTTCCTTATACAGCTTTGGCAGTGACCTCGAGGGACAGGACTGCCCCAGGAATGAAAACCTCCCTCCTGTGTCATCCTCCAAAGCCCATGAACACCCAACTGTCCATAAAGGTGGCAAGAGCTTAAAACTCTCAGGTAAATGCTTCTTTTTTCATATATCACAGAATTTTGCAGTTATTCTTTAAAATTTACAGGCTGAAATCTTAGATAGCTTTAAAAGTCTGGGTTAAAACCCAACATTTTTGTTAAAAAGACATAAGGAAAAATGTCTTTTTGTTCAGATTTAAAAAAAAAATCAAGTGTCACTTGATGTAGATTTAAACTGGTTCCTGGAATCAGTGGGGTTTTCAGGTGGTCATTATGTTGGTGCAAATATCAACCCCACAAACATGCTAAAAAAGTCCCTCCATTCTGTTAATCTGATTTTGGAAGTCCTACCTCCTGAATAGGCCAGGAACACAGACTTGAAAAGACTCCCTGTGTTACTGAGGGCAGCTCCTGTGTAATTTCAGGAGTTTGGCAAAAGATGTTTAGTTCAGAACATGTCCAGAGTCAGCAGAATCCACCTCAGTCTTGTTGAGTGATGTCAAAACCTTTAGTAAATGCTGACAAATGCAGCCATAACGTGTCACAGGAAGAGGAAAATGCCCCAGTGTCAAAATTCCCTGTATTGGCAAGAATAAAATTCCCATGGAATTCTAAGAAGTAAACTGTACCTTGCTATTCAAAAGAAAACAAAGGGCTTTGAGGCAAACTCTGCTTTTTTGTCTTGAGAGGAAATTCTCTTTCCATCTAAAAGCAGCAATAATAAAGATAATAAAGTAGGATAAGCAGCCTGCTTTTATTGAACCACTTCAGAACTGAGTCCTTAACAACATGTTTCCCCTTATACTGTTATTTGTTCTGACTGTAATAAAGTTAAATCAGAAAGTCTGGAATATTGAGCTGGGGCTGTTCAATTAGTTCCACAGAGTGTCCATGTGAGTTAGTGCCGTTTGAGGGAAGCAGCACTTGAGTGCTCATGGAAGATTTGTGTTCAGTTCTGTTAATTCAGACAGATCCTGGCAGATGTCTGATTAGACTAATTTCAAATTAAACGACGAGGAAAACAAAAAAAGTTTGCGTTCATTTCGAATGATTGAACAGGAGATAAAAACTCTGCGTGTCTTTGTTTGCTGCAACAAAGCCCAGCTCGGCTCCCTCCCATCCCCTGCTCTCCAGAACCACTCAGACACCACATTTTCATTGCGGAGATTGCTTTTAAATAAGCAAACACTCCAAGTTAAACAAACATTTGGTGAATGCAGCGCTGTCAGATAATCAGAGGAACTGAAAATAAGGAGTCAAAGATACTGTGCTCGTCCTCCAGGGCTTGCATTCCCTCTGCCATTGTGGGCTCTGCTTGTTCAGCAACCTCACAACTCCCAGTTCAGAAGTCCTTCCACGTGTATTGAAGGAAATAAGTATCTATATTTCCTGTGCTGGATCAAATGGTTGTTCTGCCTAATCCTTTTCTGGAAGATGTTGTTATGAATTTGAGTTGTTTGTGCATTACTTGGGGTTTTATTCAGCTTTATATTGAGCAGGGGTGGGTTTGCACCAGTTCCATCATACAGAGGGTATCAAAGTGAGATGTGGAATATGCTTTGAGTGCTTCTTTATGGATTTGCCTGTTTCAAGATGAAAAAAAAAAAGCATAGGTAGTAATATTCAATATTCAAATGAGTGTAGAAATTCTGGGTAATTTTAAAAAAATACCTGGAAGGTTTTTTGTTTAATTATGATTATTTCTTAAAAGGCATTCATATCAGGGAGGAAAAAAAAGTAATTTCAAAAGTTCCTAAGCAATGTAATAAGTTAATTGTATCGTTAAGTGCTAATTTCACAAAAGTGGTTGGTAGGAAAAGTCACTCCTCCTGGTACTGGGTAATGGGGGGAGGGTGGAAGGTGACATTATTTGTGGCAAGGTCCAGATCACTTCTGTGGCACTTCAGCAGCAATTGGTGTGAGAAGCATTTGGGCTGGAGAACTGTCTGTGTGCAGAAAACCTCTTCACGTGTGTGGTGTTAAGGGTGAAGTGGTTTAGGTCTCCCATCAGGATTCTTCACTGCTCATCTTCAGCATTTCACCTCTCTGGCCCCTTTTATCCCCTGTGAGCAGAGTTAGGATAGGTACAAAGGTGTTCATCTGCTTTAGTGAGGCCCCAAAAAGGCATTTACAGGGGGAGCCAAGGGGACCACAGTCCCCAAATTGGAACTGTGCAGCATGAGTTGATTCCTGAGTTACAGGGAAGATGATTCTGGCTTTCCACAGCCCTTCAGACACTAGTGAATTTTGGTCTCTCAAAACCATGTAATGTTGGATACTTTGATATTTGCAGAGAGGCAGGTGCACAGGAAACTAAGGGGAGTCATTACTCCCCGTGAAATCTCCAGCTCTTTCAGCACAGGACTGGAAATCTGATTATTCCCAGCCCATGCTTGCAATGTTTCTGCAGATCCTCTGGTTAATCTTGTCAAGGGACAGAGGTTCTGCACAGCTGGGACTCACACAACCAACCTCCTCCAGCCCAGGAGGTGGAGGGAAGGTGCTGTCCCACTTAAATGCTTGGACACATTTGATATTTCCCATGCATTGATATAGTTGCAGGAAAATATCTGATATTGTTCCAAACACCCATATTGCAGCTTGACAATCTTTCTATTTTTATTGTGGTGTCTGACTATCAAGGGTGGACTCAGTGAGGGTCTAATGACAGCCCATATGCTTTCAGTGTTCTTACTACAGCTAAAAGTTTGGAAATTCTCTGCCAACGGGCCCAAATCCATTGGTGTTTCACTCAACAGCCAAAACTTTGGAGTTTTATATTTTTCCCCTCCCGTAGTTCTCTCTGGAACATTCTTCAAGCAGAATTAAATGGTTGCTCCATGATCTCAATATACTGCAGGAAATATTAAAGAACTACCTGCAGTACCTAAGGCTGCAAACATAATATATGCAATTAAAACTTAGATAATAACTTTTTAAAGTTGCCTTTAATATCCACCGAGTTTCAAATTAAAATGGAATTTTATCCAATATAGTATAATTTAATATATTAAAAAATTCTGCTGTATTTCTTTACTGTGACAGATGCGCATCTCAGCTCTTATGTTGTACAAGAGTGTGATTCTGTGAGAGAAGGTTTTTTGGGAAAAGTAGATGTTTGATTGTTTCATGGACGCTGGAGGGATTAGGGATGAAGCAGCAGCTCCATTTCCCATTTCAGCAGCTTCCTGTGAGGATGCAAAGGGGTGATCACACCAAGTGCTCCCTCCTTTGAACTGCTCTTTGCTTTGTCTCTCCTTTGCTACTTGTTTTATCTTAAAAAAAAAGGTGAAATCTGATTGCAGATTCCTCATGGTGGTGAACAGGATCATTCTACATAAAGAGGATTTGAGGAAAAGCAGGAATGTTGTAGGAAGCAAAAATCAGTACAAAAGTTGTGCTATTCCACGTCCATTGCTTCCTCCCAGACTTGGAGAAGTGAAGCTCTGTTTGCAAATAACTTCTAAGAGCTGTGAAAGGTCAGCCTTTGTATTTTAAGCAGGTTCATTTCCTTTTGGTTAATTCTGAGCCACGATTTTTTGGGGCCGCCCTGGGTCACCTGGTCCAGCATGTAGGAGCAGGCTCCTGCTTTGCCTGTGCAGCCACCCTGGATCTAATGCCAGGGTTTAACAGGGTGAGCACATTTTCCATAATGGAGAATAATGGAACAGTTTAAATCCACTCATACACGTGTTCCTTCATCAGGCAGAGCACATCACGCTCCGTGTGAGGCAGCCAATTAGCCTGGCTTAATTTTAGCACGGAATACAGATGGCACTTTCTTGGAAAGACAGTTTATGTATCAACTCTGCAAACTTCTCACACTCTCCATCAGGTTTATGGAGCCTGGAGGAGAGGAGCTTGTGGATTAGGAACAGCTGGCACAGGCTGAATTCAGAGAAGGATGCAAGTGATGTGGAGTGAGGCAAAGTGCTTGAAGTACTCAGCCAAAACAGCAGGCTCTGCTCCTCAGAGCTGGGGAGGATTCGGGAGGACTGGATGGCACCAGGTTATCTAAATATGCTCCTGAATGAGCTTTACCTCTTCTCTGAGATGGGGTCTCTGCCAGAACTATCCACAGACTTGTCATCTTCAGCCTTCATCACCCACACTGATGGATCACCAGATGTCATTTGTTCCTGCTTTGCTTTAGCACCCCCTGCACACCCAGGGCATGGCTGAGGAGAAGCAGTTCTTCAACGAGCCTTTCCACAGTGCTCTGAGGTAATTCTGGCCTGCCCGTGGTGAGGGATGTGTAACACACTTCGGAAATCCCTCCTTGAGCACATTGGGGCTGAAGCAGAATAATAAAATGGTCAGGGGACATCAACAGTGAAACACAGTTGGTTGCACAGCAGTTCGAGGGAAAACAAGAGCCCTGCTACACTCAGTCCTGGGAGAATCTGCAGGGATGCATTTGAGGGATCCATGAGCAGATTCCTGCAAGGCCAGGAATAGGATTTGAAGCTTGAATGCCTAAATGGAAATAGGGGGTAAATGTTCCTCCAGCTTGCTTTCCCCATGCTCCCCTCTTCTCTTAAAACAAGGCATGAAAACTGGAATGATGCCCCAGGCCCCCAGCAGACACCAGTTGTTGTGCTGTGAGACAACTCATGCCTGTAGAGCAGAGATAGATGAGAGCAATAGCAATTATTTTTAATTTGCATTTCACTGCTTAGGTTATTACATATATAAAACTTCAATTATCATTTTAAAAGGTTATTAGGATGTGTTCCAGTGCTCTCTGCAAGAGATGGAACAGCCCTTGCCCCAGACCTGTTGGTGCTGGTTGCTGCAGGTGCTGCTTTCTTTCCAGAATCAGCAGGAGACAAATTTGGGTGTCACTGGTATTTTGATATCACGTGTGTTTTACTGAAGAAAAAAGATGTTGTTACCCAAAGAAGGAGGAGAAGATCTGCACTCCTCTGAAGCAGAGTGTTTACCAGCAAGTCAAATGCAGGACAGGACTTTCTGGGGTGGCCTCAGCAGAGATAAAGCAGCTTTTCTTGTATTTATTCCCCAGTGTCATTTTTTACCATGTGGTCTGTTTTTGATATTACAAACACCTCTATCTCTCCTTTCCCTTAGCTGGGATTGGATTGTAATTTGAGATAACTGGATAACAGTAAGACCTTCTTCTTAAAGGCTTAAGGAATCCATACGTGGGTATCTCAGCTTTCCAGCCCATCCTTCAAGAGATCCGATGGACAGCAGAGTGGGGGATGTTGTTTTCCAGGGCAGGTAGAAAAACACAGGGAGCAGGGAGGTAGAAATGTTTTCCAGTGGTTGCTGTGTCATTGAAATCTGATATTGCATAAAATAAAGGTGTTTTTAATTAAAATGTGGTTATCATATCACATTGTATCCTAAAAACAGGGCTTTTTATTCTGGTTGAGTATATTCAGCAGTAACTCAATACACATATGCCAAATGCCATAAATTTTATGCATGAAAATCAGAACAAAACTACCTTGTGAGTATTCCCATGTTGTTGCAAACACCCCCCCGAATAAGTATCACATCAAATAAACTTTAGATAATTTATACAATTAAGGTTTTTCATAAGACAAAGCAAGAATAGAGCTTGGTGCTAAAGAAGGTCAAGAAATTTTTATTTAAAATAGAACTGTAAAACTGTTAAACTACCAATATTTAGGAAAAGAAACTACTGAAATTTAAGAATATTTTAAAAAAGGGGGGAGATAAGGATGGTAATTTAATTTTTATGTTGGATTACCAGTTGAAGGGATTTATATTCTGATTGAAATTCGTTTTCTTAATTGACCACCAGAAGTTCTTTGAGTTGTTTCCATCCTTATCATTACTCTGAGTGTTCTTCAGAACTTGGGGCAGGATTTTTTTGAGTAGGGATTTTTTACCCTTTTATGTAGAATATGGTGTTTATTTCTCATTGAAAAATAGTCAGAAACGAAGCTGAGATGGCCAAAAAAAATCAGGACAGATGCAAATTGCTCTTAAAATTCAACACTACAGGTGCATCTACCACATGCAAACCTCCCTGAATTCATCTCTTTGAGCAGTGGAGACGGAAAATGGCTTATTTTTGTGCTGAAAGCAATTATTGGCATGAAAGTTGAACATCATTTTCCTCTATGCAGGTCATATTGTGTGGTTTGTACTACAAAAAAAGCAGGGTAGAGATGTGTTAAGGAGGAGTAAACTTAAAACAGGGTGTATCCATTAATGAAAAAACATTCCAGATCATTCCATTAAGTAGCTGGAACCAAAGGGGACCATATTTCTTTAAGATTTTATCAGTTTTTATACTGCTCTAATTCTTGAAGTAATACAGTAATTTTACATTATTATAAACACAGGCATAAGCTGAAAATACTGTGATTTAGACCAGTAATAGCTAATTTTATGCTACTTTTAAAATTAATATCTCTTTAATAATGACATGTTTCCCTCTCAGAGGATGTTTGTGTACTCAGAAGTCTGGGACATACAAGTAGAGGGTTATATGTCAATAGAATTCATTAATAAAAATTGTCTTTAATAAGAATTATCTTGTCTGTTTGTACAAATTTGGGCTTTTTTCAGGCATCCACAAACAATCCCCATATGCCTGGAGAGATGCAAACAGTAAATGTGAACAGAACTGCTCAAACCTTTACCACCCAAATCACAGGCTTGAAAATTCCACATTTTAGCATTTAATGGAGTTGTAGCAGATGGGGAAGTTTTTCTAGTTCTACTCTTTAAGACATCCCTCTGAAATATATTTTTTTCTCCTACAGATAAACAGCAAAATTGGCTTCTGAGAAACCCAAATCACCACCAGTTCTGTTTATAAATATACCAGCGAGCCTTAAAGTGAATGCAATCAGAGTTTCCACAGCTGTTTTTCCTGAAGGGCAATAATAATAGTACACTTTGAGCAAAACTTTCCTACCTGGGAGCTTAAAATATCCTTGCAGAAAATCTCCTCAGCTGCACCCCATGTTCTGCAGCACCTCTGCCAAAAGAGAAGCATAAAAAGAAAAGATACAACCACAAAGCAGAGTCTTCCTTGACGAATTCTGGGCCAAATTCAACTTTTGGAGCTTATTCCAACCACTCCCCAACTGGAGCCCTGACTCTTAGTTCATGCTGATGGAAAACAGGGATCTTGATCACCTATTTTACCTTTTCACACTTGTTTTTCCCAGTACAGTTTCCCAGGTAACCTCCCTCTGCTCAGCTTAATTAAAACCAGCTAAGATTTTTTTAGGAGTTAAGGATTTATTCCATACCTCCTCTGCAGCCTTTTCTCTCTAAAGGATGCTCCTTCTCCAAACATCCACGAGAAAATGGCACCCAAAGTGCTTTGAACATGCACATGGTGCATTTGGCACATGGAATAATCACCTTCTCTCCATTTGCTCTACAGGAGCAAGCCAACAGTATCCAGGTTTTTTCTAGGAGGCAGATTATCCAGTGTTGGATTCCCAGGCAATCCAATTGCTAATCAACACCCTCAACACAAAGAAGAGCAATTTTGACTGCTCTCACCTACCCCCAGGCTGAGTCACTGTGCTCTTCTCTCTTCCAGAAGTGAGGGCACTGGCAGGGAAGTTGGTTTTGCTGGAATTAGACAAATGCAGGTGGTAACAAGAGCTAATTATATAACAGTGTTAATGCAAGAGCTCTGAAAGGACATCAAACATTTTCCATTGATCCTAATCTGTTTGGGAGCAAGCAGCACCTGGGAGAAAATATTTCCCATGAAAATGGAAGTCTGGGGGAGCTCAGCACATGGTCTTGTCCCAGGATTCTTTTTTATGCTGAATTTGAGCATAAAAAGGGGGAGATAAGAGCTGAACAAGGACTAAAAAAAAATGATACCACAGAGGAAATCATGCAAGCCTGTATGTCTACACTAAAATACATCCCTGGAAGTGTCTAAGGCCAGGTTAGGCTGGGCTTGGAGCAACCTGGGCTAGTGGAAGGTGTCCCTGCCCACGGCAGGAGGCTGGAATGAGATGATCTTTAAGGTCCCTTCCAACCCAAACCATCCTGGAATGGTATGAAATTTTGCTTACAAATTAGACTGCTGTGAACTTCTGGCTTTCTGTGTTTCATGTTCAGGGTTTGCAGCTCCCCAGCTCCAGTGTCAGTGATCCAAGGGGTTGTTGAAATGATTTGTGTTACAGCAGTAAAATATTTGCACGTGTGTAAATTTGGGAAACAAGAGCTAAAGGTGAACAGAAAGCAGGAGCTGGGTCTCAGGGCAGACAACAGGAGTGTGGTTGTACCTCTGGAAATGAAAAACACTCGTTTAGGAAAAGCTCTTCTGGCAGTGTTGGCTGTAAATGTCCTGTGGTGCTTCTTCAACAAGTCAGGTTTACTGGAGTGTCCCGACCTCCAGAGTTCCCCTCCTATATTTCCTGTGTGCAGCACCCAATGTTTTATGGTTACCAGCTCTGCCTTGGCAAGGGCTGTATTTTCAGTATATAGAGTGTTCTGGGAAGTCTCTATTTTAGCAGCTGGCCAAATGGGTGTCAACAGGAGCCTCTGTAGGCCCGGGGTTAACACTGGTTGGAGACAGTCGATGACTCAGCCCCTATTTCAGCAGCTTGAGGACGTTTTGTTTCCTGGTTGCTCCACCTGCTTGCAGATCTCAAACCACCCTTGCTGTGCCTTCTGACAAAATAATGTGGAGGTCCATTAGAGTATAAGAATCCAGTGAAAGGGGAGCAGTGGGATGCTGGCTGTGGGTTCATGCTCAGGACACAAAGTCCCCATGGTGCATCAGCGCAGTGAACGCTGAGCTCAGTGGGCTCCTTGGTTCTGTCACCTGGCAACATGAGCCTGCCTTGTTTTGGGGGAAGGTGCTGATATTTTTCATGGGATGATTGGCTGATGTCTGCTTTGCCAGTACATAGTAATGAGGGAAAAGTTAATTTTTCTCTTATTTCTTTCCTAAGGAGGTAAAGGATGGCTTCAGTTCCCTCGGTCTGGGATATAAATTTGCTTTTGACTTTAAGAGAAGCAACATTTTGGGGTGCAGAGGTAGAAATTCAGAATTAGACCTTTTTAACCCTTTTATCAGAGAAATTTACTTTTTCTTTTAATGCACCATGATGTTTAATGACTGTTTTTTAAAAATATCCCCCTATTAGCACTCGTTTCTCATACTGGAAGGAGGAGAGTTACCACCTGAATGGGAGCATAAAAACACAAGTATAAACAGTTGTCCTTCCTGTTCAAAGTGATTGAACATCAAAAGTCTTCCCTGCATAAGAAATCGCATTGTTTTCTTAAACACCCTTTCAAAAAGCTGTTTAAATCCACAGTGTTTTTAACTTTGACATGTTTGGGGGTTGTGTCATGTCCATCAGGGAGATGGAGCAAACCCTTAATGGTATTATTATTACCATAACTCAAAATGCATTAGAATCATAAAGTTATTAAGGTTGGGAAAGACCTCCAAGATCATTAAGTCCAACCTTCAAGCAAATGCCATAATTCCCCCATAGAGATCAGGAGCACAGAGGGTGACAGCAAATTTGTTGTTACCTCTTCTAAACTGTCATGTTTTGAATTGCACAGAGCAAGGACAGAGGTGACCAGCACTTGAAAATCCCTGCCTGTGATCAGCCTCATCATACAGGTACATCACAATGCATTAAGTGATATTAATGTGATTTGACTGGGATATGGATGTGTGTGTTTATACAGCTCAGCCCATTAACTGGGGACAAGTGGACACCCCTGAAGAGCACAGGACACCAACCACCCAAATGAAAATGTCACTACTTATTAAGAATGGAGCCTTTTTTACATTTTCCTGAAAACTATAATTTAGTTTTTTGTAAAAATGTGGAATTTGCTTTCTCTGGAAGCTCTTTGTAGCCCAGTGGCTGCAGCCCTTTGGGAAACCAAAGCCTCTGCAGAGGCAATTCCAGGATCACTCTGCCCTTGCAGGATCACGGCATTTCTTCCAATTGGATCATTCTCCCATTTCCACAGTGAAAGGATGTCTTTAAACTGGTTTCCCAAATGAACTTTATGTTGGTGTTTTTAAAAGCCTGAGACTGGGAAACATCCAAATTGATGCAGTTTAAAATGGGGTAAAATAAATATTGTTTAATGGTGGCACATTGTGAGGTCAGGACTCTCAAAAAATCACAGATGAAGAAGTGAGGGGTGCCCTCCTTGCATCCTCCGAGCCAAATGTGCAGTAATAAATATTAAATGATGTTTCTAGCTAGCAGATGATCTGTATTCCACAGCTGTATTTCATGCATTCCAGACAGAGAAGTGAATTAGCATCCCATGGAGATATTTTATTTATGCTTTCTTGTTTCCAAACTTGAGAAATACAGACCGGAAACTCAGAAACACAGAACTTCTCTTAGTTAATACAGGTTTTAATGTCATTTCACTAGAATTTAATAATTTAAGATGAAGATAGAAAACAAAAAGTCCTTGAACTTATCATGGTTTGGAACTGAAAATCAGCAGGGTTTTTTAGCATCCAGTGAAGACCAGACAACTAGAAATGCCAGGAGAAATTTTAAAATTTCATGTTGCAGAGAAATGAGGAAAACCTTCATTGGATGTGAGTCTTCTCATAGATTTTGGGTTCATTGCAGCCCAGCTAATGCCCTCAGTGGGTTTAACCTGCTTTACCGTGTTGCAATTGAGAGCAAAATACATGAAAACACCCGGGTTTGACATTCACTGTTTATGGTCTTATTTGAAAGGACATCTCTGTGTATAACAAGTTCAGATGGAATAGTATTCACTCCTAGATTTCAAGGAAATCCTGTGGAATACCATTGCCTGATCACAACAACTGGCCTGAGCTTGGAGCATTGTAGTGCTTGAGTTACTGCAAGTATTTTTACAATTTTGCTCCCCTGTGTGTTTGGGGAGGGGATCTTTGGTTGCTTGTTTGTATTCTGGAGGATGTTGGTGTTTGAACCATCTGGGGGCAACAACAGGACAGGAACATCACTGGCCAAACTTGAACCTATTCCACTAATCTTACACACTGGGAGAAGTGTTCAGGGCCAGGGTGAGCCACCTGCTCTGGTGGAAGGTGTCCCTGCCCATGGCAGGGGGTTGGCAATAGATGATCTTTGAGGTCCCTTCCAACCCAAAGAATTCCATGATTTTATAATATGGAGGGTATTTAAGGGATTTCTTGCTGTCACTGAAAGCTATTGCTTGTGTTTGGGAGTGGATAATGTCACTGGGAATATTGCTGGAACGGGGACTGGCAGCTCAGGAGAGGAATGCCAGCTGGAGCTGGAACAGGAAAGGATGGAGAAATAAAAACCTTGGATGGCAGCAGGTACAAGGGAAGGGGGTTCTTGGAGGAGGGAGACGTGACAGCTGGGATTCCTAAATCACTTGTTTGGAGGGAGAGGCTCTCCTTAACTATGGGAATAGCCAAGATGGGCTGGATGAGAGTGGGGCTGGCAGGCAGACAGGCTGCTCCATGGGACTCCTGGTCCCAAAAGCCTGCAAGTGCTACTTTGACATCCTCAGCAGTGGCACTTGGGTTCTTTTACTCCTTCTCAGTACCCCAGATTTGGAGACCCCAGATTTGGACACTCACAGAACCATCTCTTTACCATTGCAATTCTCTGCACCACAGAGGGCCTCTGTGCCTCCAGGCTCCATGGGCTGTCTCAGAGGATTTCCCTGGCTGCAGAGGAAAGGCAAGGCTGGAGCTCAGCTGGCTTCCCATTGTTTGCAGGTGGCAAACATCTCACTGGAACTGGAGCCTGCACACATTTGCCCACTGTTTCCTGATACAAATTTCCCTTTCCAATGATGCTCTTCGGATTCCTGGTCCAAGGTGTACAAGTTGTTGGGAGGCTGGCCCAGCACTGATGGCATTGAATGGAGATTACTTGGAAACTGTTGAACCACTGGTCATCTGGAATCCATTTCATTGCTGCCAGGAAAGGGAGAACAAAGTGCTCCAATTAGCTGCTGCTCATTTTCAACCATGTCAGTTAATTAGCTGAAGATCCACCAGATGGGGAAGGATTTGTCACACAGCTTTCAGGGGCCCAGGCACTGCTTGTTGCCCAGTTTCAAGCACTTGGGATTTTTAATTTTTGCCTTTTTCCAGGAGGCTGAATATAGGAGGGGAAGGTGGACTCCCAATTCTTTGTTCCTTTAGGTGCTGCTTAGACTTCAGTTTCCAGCACACTGATTGGAACCCAGGTGATCTTGTCACCCAAAACTTTCACTCATCAAAGATCCAGCTTTGCTCTTTATCACAATGGCTGTGAAGTGGGAATGAAGTCAGGCCTTCAGGTACATTTGCTGTGGAATTTATGTCTCCCAGGCAGCACCTGCCCACTGCCCTGGTGATTCTGGAACCAAAGGAACAGAGGCATGGAGATAAGTCCTGCCTTCCAGGCTTGTCAGGGGGTCCACAGGGCTTTCCAGGGAATCTCTGGAACACAGGTGAGCACTGTGAGAGGTGTGGAACTGCCCAGCATTGAGGAGTGATTTGGGGATTGCAGATTGAGCCTTGAGTAAGGAGCTGAGAAATCTAAGTCTCCTCTTTCCTATTCCAGCTCAGCTACAGGAATCTTGGAGAAATATTATCTTGGCCTCTGAGTGCACACACAGGTGAGTCCATGTCATAAACTAGGATTAGGATTATAAGTGAAACAAATGGTCACGTTTGGCAGTGTCGCCGTTCCCATATGAGCACCTGCCTCCAAGAGCTCTGATCATTTGTCCCCACGGCGGAGACTCACCTGCACATTTGCCTCCAATCCCTGAATTTTTTAGAGAATTCTGTTTGCTGCAAACAGAGCCTGTGCCCTGCTTCCCCAGGCACTTGTCTTTGCATCCCTGAGCTCAGGCTCCTCCACGATTTCCCACTTCCTTTGACATTTCTTTTATTGCTCTCCCGTGCACCAGCTCACACTAACACATGTTAGAACAGCAACATCTTTTTGTAGCGCTGGTTTTAATTAGTCTGCACCTTCCCCTGGGATGGCTGGTTGCTCTAAAGCTTTCTGCAGGTGCCTGCTTTGTGCTCTGTGACTCACCACATTACCTGCAGGTGATACAATGCAGGAGCTCCTGGTGGTTGTTGCTGTTTAGGTGACTCCCTGAATCCTCCCCAGCGTGCAGAATTCTCTGATCTTGGCTGATGAAAATTACTGGCAGTGTGGAAAGAATATTTTTAATGATGAGGGAAGGGAAAGATGAAGGTGGGCACTTTCAAAGCCCCTTCTGTGATTTTGGTATTCAGAGCCCACTTGTTTGAAGGGAAACCAGTGTCTGAGTCCCACGGAAGGCTTTCAAGAACTCTTTGTTTCAAAATATAAGAACAGAAATGGAGGAAGAAGTTTACAAAGATAAATAAAGCAATAGGTGATACAGTGCAAGGAAGTTATTTCATCAATGTTTGGCTGTACTTGCAATGGCTAAACACAAGAGTAACTGGCAGTGAAGTTGTATTACAGAATGTGCTGAGTTGGAAGGGACCACAAGGACCATCCAGTCCAACCCTCAGCCCTGCACAGGCCCATCCCCAAGAGTCCCACCCTGTGCCCCAGAGGATCATCCAAACCCTCCTGGAGCTCTGGCAGCCTTGGGGCTGTGCCCACTGCCCTGGGGAGCCTGGTCAGTGCCAACCACCCTCTGGGGGAAGAACCTTGTTCTAATATCCAACCCAAACCTGCCCTGACACAACTCCAGTTGTGCTACAAGGGCCTGCAGACCCTCTCTCTGAGTCTGCCACACCACACTGTCCTATCATCAGACCCCTGTACAGAGCCTTTGATAACTTCCCAGTTTCCTGTGTTTAGCTGGTGGGCTCCATAAACCTTCACTAATGGTTTTTGCATCCTACATCTTCTCATTACAGCACGTTTGCCTGAACCTCTGTGCCACGCTGTTCACAGCAAGTTTTGTGAAACACATCAGATCATCAGCAGTTTTGCTTCTCTAAGTCGTGGAAAACGTAAAACCTGGTAATTCTTTCTCAGTTTGCTTTCTGACACCTGAGATCTTGACTTTGCTTATGTGAGCTGCATCTTGGCCCACTTAATTAGTCTTCTGTTTGTGTGCTGTAGCTGATAAATTAACCATAATTAAAGTATTTATTATAACTGATCATTCACCCCAGTTCTGTGTGGAATCACAGAGGGTTGGAAGGGACCTTAAAGCTCATCCAGCCCCTGCCATGAGCAGGGACACCTTCCACTATCCCATGTTGCTCCAAACCCTGTCCAGCCTGGCCTTGGACACTTCCAGGGATGGGGCAGCCACAGCTTCTCTAGGCAACCTGTGCCAGGGTCTCCCCACCCTCACAGCCAGGAATTTCTTCCAGATATCGCATCTAAACATCATGGTGTGAAGTGCTGTAAAATTTTCTTATGCCAAATTCCTATGGATTTCAGCAGAATTTTAGAATCAATTAGATGAGGGTATAATTTCTGCATGGGAATGTCTGCATTGGACCAGCCGACCAGTGGGAATATGGGAAGATCAGAGCTGAGTTGTTTCTAAAAGAGCTTGAGTTGTTTCTGAAGCAGAGCACCAGTGGTCAATATTGCATGTTCCACTGAATTATTGTCTTCATGAAGATTAATAGTGGTTTGAGGCCCTAAGCAATAGTGCAGTCCTGGTTTATTTTAGCTTTAATTCATAATTTACTCTTCCCTTCTTGCCTGGTGGTGTTGAATGTCCTGCTCTGTTCTCTTGTTACATCCATGAAAAACCGACGTGAAGCCAAAAGCGGAGATTAGAATTTGAGCCTTCACTGCTGCTCCTCTCAGCAATATTGATCACTTCAATTATTGCCCTTTCAGGAATGAAGCCTGAAAAGGCACAGAGCAGTGGCAACAAGAGCCAAGAGGCAGAAGTGCCTGTCCCTGGTGCCAGAAGCAGGGCTTTGGTCCTCCCCTCCTTGCAGGAGGAGGAAACACTCAACCCTTCATCCAAGTGCTCGGGGAATGTGTGATGATCTCACATCAAGCATCCCTCAAAAAAGCGTTTTGTTCTTGGATGTCTTCTGGTTTCCTTGTGATTTACTGCATTTCTATTTCTGCCATCCATGACCTGTGAGTGTGGACTGAGCATCTGCCTGTGCAAGTGCTGCTTTTGTCTGAGACACTCAAAGACTCAGGAAAATCCAAAAAAACCTCTTGCTTTTTAAGACACTGTGATTTCTGAACCTACACTTCTCTGAGAGATTAATAGCTTTGGATACATGAATTACCAATTTAACTATTGATAAACCATCAGAGGAAAGAATGTGCTGTGGACTGGATTGGGGTCCAGGAAGGTCATAAGGTTTGTTATAATATAAAGGCTACAATTTTTACATCCTAATGTCTGAAACTGCATTATGCCAGAAATCCTCTCCCCGATTTCAGTGGAATGACTCGCCTGGCTTGCAGGAAGGTGGCTTATCTTAAGCTGCATTGTCTGTACACTTCAATAGAGCTTAAAAGAGAAAAGTCTGAGAGAAGACAAAGAATTAAGCAGTTGTGTCATTAAGCCTTCAACATTTGCAAATAGGGCTTTGGCTCAGCTCAACTTCCCAGTGGCAAGTACATTGTTTGGCTTGGTCATTTAGTTACTTATTAAAGCCCTCAGAAAGCTTTTTCAGTATTTCTTCTTTTGTTAACTTCTGTCACACAAACTGTATTTAATGCTTTCTCTCTTTTCTCATCCTCTGGCCCTGCAATATTCAAATTAGGTAAGTAGAAAATGCAGTGATTTAATTGTGAATCCCAAACAAAAAGTTTGCAGAACTTCTTTCTGACACACAAACAGTAATTTTCATGCCACAAGATGAACATTAGTGAACCTGCCATTACATTTACACGTAACGAAACCTTTTCAGCTCAGGGACCCTTTTCAGCTCAGCTCCACAATCATTTTTTTTTTTGAGATAATCTGTCATTTGAAAACCTTGCAAGTAGAAATTAGTCCACAATAACCCACCCACAGTCCAAAGCAGCTCTGTGGCTTTTAAAAATGTACTGAAGAGGCTCCTGTGTGGAGATAAACAGTGTTTTAAGCGTTTCTGTCATAGGAATTGATGAGGTTTTATCTTTGTGACAGTGTCCACCCACATTTTATTTTTTTCATTCATACAATTAAACACCAATTTGCTGGGACAAAAGTGTAGATAAAAGAATTAGCTCGTGCTTCAGTGATTCTTCATTAATAAATGCAGCAGGAATTGGCCTGTGAGGGATGTGACAAGCAAAGTGCTGAGAGATGCTTCACAGAGCAGCAACTATCGCCTTTGCCTCTCCAAGAGCAGCGTGAACAAAGTCAGACCATAGGAGGGCTGTAGTTAGTGGAATAACTCTCTCTTATTGTAAGATTTTCAACAAAAAAACCCCACTGCTTCATTAGCTTTGCTGTTCTGGAGACCTCCAGGTGAGCTGGGATGATCCCAGGAAGGGTGGTGGCTGCTGGATGTGTATCAAGCTGGTTTATTCCTGCTCGGGACTTGGGACCGTGCTTGATCCTGATCCATTCTCCACCAGAAAAAGACATAGATGAACCATCCATGCCATAGGCTCAAGTCCCAGTGAGAGGGACAGCAATGGACTCCTGGGTGCGCTTCCCAAACAGGAGGGCAGGGCCGTGGGCATGGGGAGGCCACAGCCTGCAGTTTGGGGTGAAGTCAAGTACATGGGAGAGCAAAACAAGTTTTCATGGTGTTCTCAGGTTTGCATTTTATCCCTCTTTGTTTGCTTTGTTCCCAGGTGCCCACAGTCAGTGCCTGCAGAGCTTTCAGAGCGGGGTTGGTGTGCTCTGCTCAGTCTCTGACAGGTACCAGGGGTACCACGAGGTGCTCAGCAGGAACATCACCTCCTGATGTCCAGCTGACTTGGTATCTGCTCTGAAAAACTCATGATCCAACTGTCCCAGTGTCAGATCTGAAGGGAATAAGCCCCCAAAAATGCTACTACCTGGTGTTTCCTTTCATACCTGAGACACGCCCCTAACACAGCCATTAGACTGTGTGTGAGACAAGGTAATTTTATCTGGGAGTGACAGATAATTAATGAATTTTTCCTTTGCTGTGGTGTTGCAGCCCACGTCCACGTCACTCACCTAATTCCAAAGAAGGGATTATGGCCACCACCACCAGCCCATGGTGCCAGGTTGAATAAGTTCCTACAGGGACCACAAGGTAAGAGCTTTGGAGCATAACCCTGGCACTTTAATAAGGACATTTTACAGTGTTTATTCTGTGATCTACAGCAAACAGAAAAAAATCATACACATAAGAAGTCTAAAAACATTCTATGCTAGATATTTTAATTAAAATTTTTATTTATGATATTTTAGCCCATTTGAAATGGGAATAGCTCTAGGTTTAAAACAGGAAGGATTTTCTTTATCTCCATATTAAAAGCAAAAGGAAAAGGAACATCCTTGTTTTAACATTTTAAGTGCCTTCATGCCAAGTATAAATGAAGATCCTGGATTTTATTTTTTAATGAAACTTAATTCAGCCTAGTTAGGAAACCAATAACCATATTTCCTAATTGAGTTTATTAAAGTAATAAACACAGCTATTCCAGGAAATGAAAACGTTTCAGGATATGAAATACAGAGTTCTCTGAAGCAGATATTCAAGTGGGGGTACCTGCCATTTCCCAAGGCATTTTGGTATAAACCAGAGTCCTTTGTTTCTAAAGATGCTGGGTGTCATCCAGTCTCACTGATGTCTGTGAGTGTTACGGGCTCTCAGCATTTTTGAGAACTCATCTGATTTATTTGGATGTTTAAGGTGGATTTAGAGGTCTAATTCTAAGCAATGAGATACTCCTGTGATTGTCTTAGGCCCCGACTTTCAAAGACAGCATCAGCTTCATTAAGGCTGAAATGACAGAGCTGGAATTGATATTTAATAATGCACTAAACTCTCCTGAGGCTCCAGTGCAGGAATGCCAGAGCTCAACAGTTACTAAGAGAGGTCACACAGCAGAGGGTTTGTTATTCATCAGGATCACTGGATTTCTAGACAGTTAAGAAAGTGAAAACCACAAAAATCAGCCTTTTCCCATCAAACTGGAATAGGAATGTTTGGGTTTTTTCTCAGCAGGAAAGAGGGCATGAACTTAGAATCACAGAATGGTTTGGGTTGGAAAGGACCTCAAAGTCCATCCATCCCACCCCCTGCCATGGGCAGGGACACCTTCCACTAGCCCAGGTTGCTCCAAGCCCTGTCCAACCTGGCCTTGGACACTTACAGGAGCAGCCACAGCTTCCCTGGGCAGGTCACGTGGAATATTTTGCTCTGTCTCTCGAGTCACAATGATGTTTTACCCAGTCTGGGCTCAAAACAGGAAAGGTGAAGAAGTCCAGGTCCAGGGCTGAGGGAGGCTTGTGGAAAAGCCTGAAGGAACTGATGTTTCCCAAATCCCAGAAGAAGTGTCTGAAGGCACATTTAGCTCTGCAGTGTTTTTTTGAAACAGGTTTTTCTCTACAATGCTTTAGTCACAATAAATAGTATTTTAAAGAGGCTGTTTGGCTGCAGTTTATCCCAGAGGGAAGAAGTTTAGGGATGGGCAGTAGCCCACTGGTCTCGGGGAGCAGAGCAGAGATTGGAAGGAAGCATGGTCTTGGAATTGTAATTCCTTGTACTGACTGAGCATGTGAGACCTGAGCCCAGGACACAGACACACTCCCTGGCACAAATTGAAAATCTCCATTTACTCTATAAAACAGAGATCTTTAAATTGTAAGAGGAAAGTTTATAACTTAGAAAGACTTTTGTTCACCCAAGGAAATGTTTGTTGAGGAACACAGGCAGCTTTATCAAACTTTTTTTATAAATCAACACCCTGATAGTGGAGATAAATCATATCCTATAGAGACATCAAGACAGCATTTATGGATAAGTATAGATTTTTGAGTATTGATCCCAAATTGGCCAATTCTTGATATTTCTTCCTTTCTTTTATTCTTTCTTTTATTCCAGTAGTTCAGTCATCATAGCTGATGAAGCTGCTGCTTCTTCTTTTATAGGTACTTAACACAATTATTAAAAATATTAAATTGCAATTAAAAGCGAACTACGTAGAGGCAAATTCCTTGGTTATTGAAGAAGTTTGCATTCAGCAGAGGTCACTTTCACTTCTCTTTGAATACTTTGGGATTGCTGCAGATGAGAGAGATGTGAGGTTTCCCACGGAAGCCGCGGCGGCAGCTCCGGAGCCTTCCCCGATGGTGCCGTTCCAGGTGGATGATCTTTCACTTCTTGTCTCAGGAACTGGACTGGGCTTGACAACCTCCCATTCCCCAGGACCTACAGGAGCTGCAGTTAATTAACCTCCTCTTTTTTCAAAGGTGATTACTCTAGTTTGCAATCAAGGAATTTTTTTTTAATTTTAGGTTTTTTTTTTCCCCAAAGAAGCTCCATTTCGCCCCATTGCTGTGTCACCCGTGGTTTCACACGTATGCTTGGCAGAGTTTCCATGTGATCATGTACCTCTTGTGATGCAGGACAGGAGCTCCACATGCCTGGGCACCCTTGGGGCCCATCACACCCACCAGGTGGTAAAAAAGGTGATTCTTCTCCCCCTCTATTCCTCTCTGGTGAGAATCCACCTGGAGTGCTGTGTCCAGCTCTGGGGGCCTCAGCACAGGAAGGACAGGGGTCGATGGCTTCAAATTGATAGATGGCAGGTTTAGATGGGATATTGGGAAGAAATTCTGCCCTGTGAGGGTGGGGAGGCCCTGGCACAGGTTGCCCAAAGAAACTGTGGCTGCCCCATCTCTGGAAGTGTCCAAGGCCAGGTTGGACGGGGCTTGGAGCAACCTGGGCTAGTGGAAGGTGTCCCTGCCCATGGCAGGGGGTAGCACTGGATGAGCTTTAAGGTCCCTTCCAACCCAGTCCATTGTGTTTAAGAAGAGAAGAGGAAAAGGGAGTGAGCAGCTCTTGACATGAGGCAGCCAAATCTGTGCTGGCAATGCAGGGCAGTATGAGAAACCTTTTCCATCTGCTCCGAGCAAAAGTGTTCAGCAGAGCTCTGGAGAATGTGGAACAAGGAAACTACCAGTTATTTTCAGAGTCCTGTTACAAGTCAGTGTGTGTTCAGTGGCAATATTTAGAAATTCAGCAACTTTCTCTCCCCCTCCAGGCAGAGCAGATCAGTCGAGTGGCTGAAGAGGAGCACTCAGAGGGAAATGGGAGCAGAGGCAGTCACGAGGAGCAGGCACTTGGAGAAAGGCTTCTGAGATAGCTCCCAGGAAAAATTATCACTTATCAGCAGCTGCTGGATGACACAGCACTGCTGCCAAAGCAGCAGCCTGCAGCACCTGCTCTCTGCACACTGCTGGTTTTAGCAGGAGGCTGGGATGTGTCACGGCTGCCCCTGCAGCTCCCACAGCAGCAGCTCCTGCGGCGATTCCTCGTGCAAGGAAGGCATGATCCAATCCCAGGTGCACTTTCTCTTGGACTGCATGAACCATGGAATGTCACCTGGACCCATTTCTCCATAATCTGAGTTGTCTGTGCACTTAGCTTTGGCTTTTAACCCAGAAGCTTTCCAGGCCCACACGCTGAGGTCGCTCCTTGTTTGTATTTCAGAGAGATGTTCACTGCACTTTATGTTCTAACAAACAGCATTAACAGGCTGGAATACACTGGAATAAAAGTGTTTTATTTCCTACTGGAATTTCATGCTGCTTGGGAATTTATGAATTGGATTTCCAAGGGACAGTGCTAAGCTCAGAGAGATTTTCAAAGGGGCAGGCAGAAAGTCATTAGCAACAGTTCGAAAATAAATTCTTCCTGTTCTGCATCAGTGAGATTTGTGATCCCCTTTACATATATTTTATTATGATTATTCATTGGTTGTCTTTTTGACACTATTAAAGTAATCTGGAAAAATATATTACATGTTATGAGCACCACTTTTATTATACCAGCCTCCTAAGTAGGAACACAGGAACACTGAAAGAGAAATAGAAGCAGGAAAAGATCTCCTGGGTTGGCATATCCTGTCTCCTGCTGGCACATCACATCATATCATTCCTTTCATAAATATAAGTAATCTAAAACTCCATGTTCTGTTTAATTTGCAAGGAAAATGTTTTTCTGATGTGCCTAAAGATGGTTAAAATAAGCCAATAATAACTGTAATTATTGTGAGTTACAATAGATAACACGTAAATTTTATACCTGCAACTACTTTATTTTGAAGTTTGGGGACGAAGGCTTGGTTTTCTTCTGTTTGGTGTTATTTGTTTCCCTGACAGGGCTTTGTTGAAGAAATTGAAATAACTCAGATCATTTTCTCTTCCAGAGCCTCACACAAAAGCCAGGTTGGAACAGGTTGTCAGAGTGTATTTTGGAGGAGCTGGAATGTCTGGGTGCTACTAAAAGCTGTGGCAAATGGATCTCTGACCCTTCTTTGGGACAGGTCAGTTCAAGGCTCCTGCAGAAGCACTTTGGAGAGGTTGTACCTCCTCCCTGAGCTCCTCCCAAGCTGGGCTCCAGCCCAGGTCTGTCCTTGAATTAAATATTAGGGAGAAGTTGTTCCCTGGGAGGGTGAGAAGGCCCTGGCACAGGTTGCCCAGAGAAGCTGTGGCTGCCCCATCCCTGGAAGTGTCCAAGGCCAGGTTGGACGGGGCTTGGAGCAACTTGGGCTGGTGGAAGGTGTCCCTGCCCATGGCAGGGGTGGAATGGGATGAGCTTTAAGGTCCCTTCCAACCCAAACCATTCCATGATTGTATTACTTTTTTGTTTTCCAAACCTTCCTAGAGGAGATTTTTAATTTTTTTTTAATGCAGACAAGTGATGCTGTTATTAGAAATACTGGTAACATTAATCATAATTTCCTTTTGGTGTGCACCAAAGCCTGGTTTTCATTCAAGGACATGATTTTTTTTTCCCCCCCCATTCACTAAACACAGCTCAGGTGATGTTTGATAAGCAGCATCCCATCATAAAACTGAAAGATTGCTGTAGTGCACAAGTCTGAAAGGCAACATGAAGGCTGAATTCATTGGATCATCATACGATGCACAACAGCATCTTTTAGCTTTTCACAAAGCAGATAAATCCTTCACAAACTGTCTCAAAATAGAAACAGCAATAGAATTCAGTGAAGTTGTCAGCAAGACTTCTTCAATGAATTTTAACACATTTCTCCTCCAGGAAAAGGTTTCTATAGCAAAGGTTTCTACAGCAAATTTCAACTTTCCACTGCCTATTAAAAATAGCTTGCAAATATATCTATGTGTGTATACATACATATATATATTTATAATGGTTGAATAATCCACTTTCTGTCTTTTCCCTAGAATAGCTCACACTGAAAAAGCCATATCTGGATGATTCAAATGCAGCTGCAGAAATTCAGGAGGTGAAGAGTTACTGAAAATGTGAGTTCAATTAATATTTTTCATGTAACATTAACTCCAGCTGTTGGTTTGCTTTTTGAAAAGAAGTTTCTAAACAGCAAATACTCAGACACACATAAAAACACATGAATAATTCTGTTGGGTTTTAATAAGGAAACTAATTAAGGCTGCCCAGATCCAGAATGTAACAAGCTGGAGCAGGGGTGATCATTATTGCATTAGCATTGCTTGACTGAGCCACAAATGTCTGAGTGGTCACCCTTCACAAAACATGGAGACAGAAAATTCCAGGTGGAGATTAGCCCAAAATGAGGGATTCTTTTCTAGGTTTGGTAAGTCATAGCTCTTTCTGAACTTGAGACCATGAGGATCTTAAAAAAAAATCAAACAAACAACCCATCCCTGAAGCTGCAGCTTCACAGAAGTCAAAGAGAAGTTAAATTTCTCTCTTCTCACCTTTCCATGATGTTGGGATGCTCCATTCTGGAAGCTTCTTCCCTGGCCACCAGACTGAATGTTTCACAGGAATGAACATCCCCTCAAGGCACAGTCCTGCACGGGGATTGTCCTGCCAGGACTCTCCCTGTGTGCTGGCAAAACTCAGTCAAAAAGTCACTGTGTGTATGGAATGTTTTATTCCCTGACTTCTGGGTTTTTCAGAATCAAAAGCCCTGCTGATTGTTGGGTACAAATGCCTCCTTGTTCCTGATTAGGCACTTCTGATGTTGGAAGCACATCCAGCCTCCTAATCTAAAGAGGCTGAGGTAAATCAAAGCAATGGAGCATTTTTAATATATTTAAATGAAATGCAACATAAATTTCCTTCCTGGAAAGAAGAATCAGCCAACTTCCTTTTGATAGAATCAGGAACAATATTTTAAATTCCTTTTCCAATAGCCACCTTTTAATTACAAGCACTTTGACACAATTCTCACATATAAATCTAGGATTGTTCTTGATCTCATAAAATGGGGGACAACATTGCATTTTTACTGCTGCAGTTGTAACTTTAACTGATTTAATCACTTGATTAGTAACCCTGATATGAAAAATGACAGAGGCCTTTAATGGTTTAATAGCTCAGAGGAGTCCTGGCTTTTGAATGAAGTTCATAAACGTGGCTTAGAGTTGATATACATTGATATAAATTATCTTCAGATGAATGCAGGCCAGAGCCTTGAAGGATAAGGAAAAGCAGCTTAAACAGGAAGAATCTCTGGAGAAAGAAAATTTTGCTTTGGATAGTTTATGTTATCACATCCCAGATGCACTGCTTTTCAAAAGAGATATATTCCAACATGATAGGGAATTATTTTGCCGATCAGAGGACACAGGGAAAACTTCTACCACTAGGAAGAGTGTGTATATATACCCATATGTGTGTGTGTGTGTGTGTAATCAAACTCCCAGGGAGGATGAAAGGACATTTCTCTGAGTGTGCATTTATATGCAGCTAAATTTTGCAGCTTCTGGGTTTCTTGGAAGATGTTCCTGCTGCTGCTCCCACGGCACTGGAGGTGTGTTCATCCTACTTCATTAAACTTTATGTGTCTCCCCCTTTCCTTTGTGACACAAGTGATTTTGCTCCTTCCCTTTGGCATTTTTGGTCAGTGAAATGCTGCCCTTTTGTTTCTTGCAGTCCAACTGTTCCAAAGTCACAACATTCAGCCCACTTTGTGTCTTCTCTAAGTTTATTCAGAATCCCAGAATGGTTTGGGCTGGAAAGAACCTTAAAGCTCGTCCAGCTCCACCCCCTGCCATGGGCAGGGACACCTTCCACTAGCCCAGGTTGCTCCAAGCCCCGTCCAACCTGGCCTTGGGCACTCCCAGGGATGGGGCAGCCACAGCTTCTCTGGGCAACCTGTGCCAGGGCCTCCCCACCCTCACAGGGAGGAATTTCTTCCTGATATCCGACCCAAACCTACTCCTTCAATTCATAACTTTCAGACTGTAACTTTCTGGGCTGTATTTTATTGCCCTTTTGCTGATCAGATTGGCCCCATGTTTAAGTTCTTTTTAGATCTGATCTTCCCAGGCTTCTTCTGCTGTTCAGCCAATTGATGATTTATAGTGTTTAAATAAGAAATGCAATTTGTCAGTTCAAATAAAACCCTTCACCTATTTTTCCATGTCACTGTTCCTTTTCTTGTAAATCTTGTCTACTTACTCAGTCTAATGATCTTGATCTTTATCTCACTCTAATGATGTTGATCTTTATAACTTTGCCAACAAATGGAATGGTCAAACAGGCTCTCACCATGGTGTGTTTCTGCTCTGAGGAGATCTGGGCTTCATGGTGTTTGCTTCACCATGGTTCAATTTGTTCCAGTGCACCCTCAGTCTTTTAAAGTTTCATCTCCAGCACTACAAGTTGTTCTGCTCCCTCTTTTTTGTGTCAGAAATCTGATCATAATATACATAGTGGTGTTTTATTTGCTTTTTAACGTACAAGTAGCTGTCTGTTTTTTATTTCATTGATGACCTGATGTCTTTAACCTTCATTTTCTAAAAGCTTCTGTTCTCTTAAGAGGTACTGGATTTGATCCAATCCGTATTTTTAATCTCAACCAAGTCAAGTCCAAGGCTGAGTAAAGTCAGAAAACTGAACCCTTTGAGGCAACTCTGCCAAGATCCTGAAGGAATTGGAAGGAAGGATGAGCTGGTGGTTTTGCCTGGCTTTGCAGAAGCCCCAGGAAGAGGTAACTGCTGCAGGGGTGACTGTCTGGGGCTCACCCTCTGCCTTCATGGCTTTCTCTGCCCACTGAAGCTGGATTCCTCCCCAAATCCCAAACTGGGGGGTTTTCATCTCTTTCTGTGTCTGATATGTATCTTTTCTTACATGATACACCCCCTATATTTTACACCCCCTGTGTTTCACACATCTCTCCCCTCAGGGCATCACCACCAGCACTCCACACAGTTTTTGGTCCCTTCAAGCAGGATGCTCCCTGCTGGAGTGCCCAGAGGACAAGCTGAGGTAGCCAAAGGGGATTTTGGAGAAGCAGGAGCCTGGTTTATTTTCCAGCCCTAAAATATATTATCATATGGGCTCTCAAGGTTGATAAGTGCCAGTACCCCACGTCCCCTCTCTGAGGTGTCCAGGAAAACAGCCCGTGGAAGTCAATGGCTGTTTTGCCACTGATTCCATGCCTGGGCTCCCAATAATTGGTGATTCATGGAGCCACTTACATGGTAAATGTGAAAAATGAAAACGACCTACCCATTAACTTAATCATCATTCCATCCCTTCTGTAAGGCAAATAAAGTGCTAGATGGAGGCAGATGTTGTTGTAATTGAGGTCTTTTTTATTATTTGAAGGGACCAATTTCTAAAGGTCATTGATGGAGCTTGATGGAAATAAGCCTTTAAAGTGTGAATATTGATGGCAGAGTAAAGTGAGTCTTCAGATGGAAGATGCTGCAAAAAAATCCCATAACTTTATAAAAAAATTATGGGTCAAATTCTTCTCTCACTCAGGGCACCATAGATCTGAACTCATCTGGAGGAATCATTGACTTCACTGTAAATGAGGGCACAGCCTTCCTCACTGGAATGAGCTTCAGAGTTTTATCCTCCCAGAGAAGAGCAACCCAAAATTTACTGTGATATTGCCACTGTCCTCATAGACAGAGAGAAAAAAGATTATGACTGTCAGACATCCATGAAAAGTTCTTTTTTAGCTTCTCCTTGGATCTGCCTTACTCACAACCTGCCCACGCTGTACCTGGCAGGGATTTTCCTCATTCCAGCAATTCCCCTGGTGCTCAGGTGTGCAGAGGCTGCTCTCCTGCAGTGCATCCTGTGAACCTGGGGATAAAAGGGAGCTCTCCACCTCTTCATTCCCTTCTAGATTAGAAACCTCTGTGATGAGTCCTTGAAATCCTAGAAAACAAGCTAAAGAAAAGGCTGGAGCATTGACAGCCTCGCAAATAGACTGACTGGGAGGGAGAAACTGGATCTATCACTTTGTTTCAGTAATTTAAATTAATTTATTGTCCTCTGACTGCCATTACTTTACTTATTTTTCTTCAATTATTTGATTACTTTAATTTTCTTTATTTTCTTTAATTCTCAATGTTATTATGTGACATTTTCTATCTTATATCTGTCTTGAAGGATCCCTTCACCTTCTCTGTGCTTCACCCCAGGTATTGTAGGGATTATTTTGTGGTATTTTTGGAAGTTTAGAAACGCAGACATCAGGCAGAGGAGTGGTTTTGTTTTATTTTTGAGGATATCTAAATATCTCTCCCTATATTATGTCTAAATATAATTTTAATGCTTTAAATTTAGTGAAAAACACATATCCCAGAATAAGTCTGCTGTTTGTTATTCAAATAACATTTTTACATAAGAGCAATCCCCCCACTGAAATAAAACTAATCTGTTCCCATATACATATTTATTACATGCTTCTTTTATTTTTGTTAGACATTTATGCTTCTGTTGTTTGTAATAGGCATTAAGAATATATCAATATATTTTATTTGCACATTATTCATAATTATTTCTATAAAACTCCTCTGGATTTTTAAAAATAACAGACTTAGCAAAAACCCAACGAGGTTTTCAGAGCAAATGTTTATGGCTACTAGAAAGTTTTGAAGGATGTGATTTATGACACTTTTGTGACACAGCCTCAGCTGTCATAGCACAATTTTAATATTAAAATTCCCTTCCTTTGGACAGCTGGTGTGGGGTGATACCTGGCTGATAGAAGAAATCAAGAAGAACCAGGAACACAGGAGTGAGATAAGAAAACATCACAAATGACATAAAAAAGCATCACAAGTGACAGTCTCTTAGACAAAATAGAAAAATAAAAAAAAGAGCAGGTCAAATAAGTTAATCCTTCTAAGAATAATATATCACTCCGATACTCAGCTCCCTTCCAGGCAAAAAGAAGACAAATTTACCAAAATCCTGGGGGGGAAAAGCGTGGCTGGATGATGAGAATTGTGTTGGGTGGTTGTGGTGCCGTAGGAAGGGAGAGCAGAGCACTGGAGATGCCTCCAGTGGG